CACCTTCCGCGGCCAAGCTGCGAAAAGCACCGACGCAACCTGGAGCCCAAGCCGTGTCATGGCCTTGACAGAGAAACTTCAGGGTTTAGTGCTAAAGGGCGCTTAGGGCTTAAGTTTCAGATTCGGCAAGTCAAAGGCCTTTGCGCTGCCTGATCCGTTTTTTGCGGGTATAAATAAACTACTTTTGATTTTGCAGCTGTGATCTGTCGTGAGAAGATCTGGCATCGCTCACAACTCAAGCTTCTATCTTGGGAAGATACTGGTAGCAATTGAATCATTGGGGTTATCGGAACTTCTGGGGTGGATTTCGGACTCTGAGTTTCGCGGCTTTTCGGGTTTCCGTCTAGGAGATCGGGGCTACGACCTCTTGCATCCAAGGGGGCTGAAGGAGTTTGGGCTCACCTTGTTGGGGCCGTGGATTTTTGGTTGCTGGTCGAAGCACACTGTCGTCACCATCACTGAGATCGCTAGCTGCTGTGATTGAATCTCACCTACTCCATCTCCTCCTAGTCCTCCTCCTTCTCCTCACACTCCCTACAACTTCTTCTGCTACGACTGAGACAGTGACGACGACCAATGACTACGACTACTACTGCTGGCGCTGCTACTACTACTACTACTACTACTACTACTAGTACTAGTACTACTAGTGCTCTACTACTACTACTACTACTACTACTACTACTACTACTACCTACTACCTACTACCTACTACCTACTAACTACTAACTACTAACTACTAACTACTAACTACTAACAACCTACTAACTAACTACTAACTACTAACTACCTACTAACTACCTACTAACTAACTACTAACTACTAACTACCAACTACTAACTACCAAACTCTTTTAAGTACTATCTACTACCACCACTACCACTACCACCACAAACACCACCACGACCACGACTCCTATTAATATGATACGACAATAACTCCGGAAAGATTGGTGTCAGTATTCATGAGACAAAATAGCCGATGACGATCGGTGCGTCGGAGCTGAGGCGGTGGGGGATTCATGTGAAGCGAGGTTGGAGAGCCGTGTGCGCTTAGCAGCTGACTTCTCTTTAGGGTGCTAGGGTTGAGATAAGCCATGTGGTGACCTAAGATAAAGTTCTTGGATAAAGGGTTGGGTTTGAGTGGCAGCTTGCACCTGCAGAAAACATCTTGGGCGCCGGGACGAGCAAGCCTTCTATCTGACTTGTAGGATAAAGGCCCTGCTCTAGCAACATCCTTGTGTCGGCTTTTGTTAGAAGATAGAGGCTGCAAACATAATCCGGTCAGGAAGCTACTCTGAGCCCAAGACACGTAACCCCTCCTGAGAACTACAGATGTTTGAACGTCTTCTTCCGCCCTTAAAGGAACAACCACAAATACGGTTTCGAACCGATGACACAAGAAGAAGCGAAGGCAGCGCGATCCAGAAGCCCAGTGACCTCAAGGCCGACAGTGTCGCACACGTAGCTCACACTTGCTATGGAGCACGCACACGGCAGAGAGCAGTGCGGCCCGCAGCGATGCCCATCCATGGTTGGGGTGAGATTAAATGGGCGGCGCCAGCACAGCTTTCGAGCCTGCTGATCTTCCCTGTACAAACCGGCCGAGGCTTGTGCGAGCCTTCAAGAAATCAGAAGTAGACAGCACTCCCAACGTCAGAGAGATCAAGACTGCCCACCAACAATCAAGCCGGACGCGAAACTCGCCTAATCAAATTTACACTGCCACTGTGCAGGTAGGTGGCGGGAAGCTGATCTAATTCGCAGCAACCCATCGCCCGGATGAGTCATATATTGGGTACGGGTAAATCCTTCTGACGTGCAGCAACAGACCAACTCAAGCCAGGAGCATCTGCAGGCTGTGCGCTCTTCCAGATCGGACTGACACAGAACTCACAAAGCTCTGTATCATGTCCTTCCAGTCGAGCTCTAGGTGTTCCTCAAGGTCCAGGATTTTCGGCACGAAACCTGCAGGGGTGAGCAGAAACTCTTACGATCTCCTGCGGGAGCTCATCAGCGTCCGCATGTTCGGCCCGGTCGTTTGGCCGACGATCTGCGATGCCGAAACAGACTCCGCACAAGGCCTGAAACGCTGCCAGTGTAAACTCGTGGTAGTGGACCGCTCCAGTTTGGACGTCAACTAGAATCTGTGGCCGATAACGGTTGGCTTGTACCGCCAAAACCTCAGCATAATTCTTAATTGTTTACGGCCAGCCAGTCAAAAGGGTCCTCCGTCCGGGAAATGTCCAGACGTGCGCGCATCTGAAATGTCTCAGTGTCAAGCTGCTCGGGCAAAGCTGCCACTTCACCCCAAATGTCTGAGTCCGCAGCTGCCTCAGATTGTTTCAGTTTGCAGGGTCGCCGCCCCGGACCCCGAAGAGAAGACAACCCCGGTAGTGTCCACAACGGAATGAAGTAACCTGCGAAGCTGTGGCAGATGCAGTTTCGCCGCAGGCTGCAGGTTTTGTGTCAGGGATGTAGGCATACTATCCCACATGTCGCAGACTTACTGATGGTCCCGTCTGGCGTCCACGTAGAAAGGACTCGACCGTGCCTATCCGGCACACCACACTGTGAGAAATTGATGCTGCGGCCTTTGGGCCTCGAAGACGGCCTGTTCATCAGCTTGATTGGTGCACAGACCCATGCGTGCTGGGCTTGGAACCCGGGGCAGCCACAATACCGCCCATGAACTACGCGGACCGCTGCCGTCCGAAGCGCTTGGTTCGACATAATGGCCAGCCAGACTTGTGCAGGCAAACTCGGGTTTGGCCCTGCCGCCTGTGGTGCGACACCATTGCCTGGCCCAAACATCAAGGAAAAGCTGCCCGACCTGTTCGTGCAGCGTGAAAGCAGGCAGGAATGGTCGCATATGGTCGCAAGTTTGTAGGAGCATGCGGATGGGAGCCTTGACTCCAGGCGGAACGACCGCAGGCAGGTTGTCCGCCTCCACAGTCTTGCAATAGCCAGTTCGACCTCAGCTGGACAATGAGCCCGTAAGCAGAGTGGCCTCTTGTGTTTGAGCAAAGATGGCAGGAATGCAGTGCAAAGAGAAGAGACGAAGGTATCAACACTCAAGGTTTTTGCATGCGCAAGGAAAGGGGCAACCTGAGCCGTGGCGCAGAAGCAGATCCCAGTCGTACCAGCTTGGACTTTAGCGGAGGACAAACGTCCCGTAAGGGGAGCCCGACTTTTGAGTTGCAGAGTGGACGGGTCACTGCGCAGCGGCGGCGACGCAACCGCAGACCTCGACGTCTTTTGCTGTTTGGCTTTGGGTCTAGCAACCTAAGTGGCGAAACGAGTCTGAGCTCGCTGCTCAACGTGTGCTTGAAGTTCCTCCGGCTGCACCCAGTTGAAAAGGGCTCCGGTTCGCAGAACGTTGGCCAGAGGACCGGCCGAGCTTGAATCCACAGCATCTTTTGGCACACCTATGAAGACCAAGACTCCGCGCAGCTCTTTCTCCTGCCCAACAGAGAGGCCACCCTTACCAACAAGCCGGAAGGGCAGAGGAGGCAGTGCTGTCAGGATGGACCTGGCCTGCTTGTACGGGTCCGGTACTTCCCTGCGGATGGCAGGTTTAAGGCACGAGCCAAGGCCAGTACCCCAAAAGAGCCGCGGAGCCCTCCACGGGATGCGGCAAAATCGAGGCGGAGGCACGGCAATTCCCCAACAGCGGATACGCTTA